ATCTGACACCCCATCATACTTACCTGTTCTGTGAGGTAAAAAATTCTCTTTACTTTCTTTGTGTAGAAGCTGCTCCATACTCTGATCAATATTACCTATACTTTTTTGGTGCTTTACATTCTTCATGAGATAGAATAGTTTGAAGGTATAGGCACACCATAAATGCATCAGCAGCATAAGAATATGTTATGTTCTCTCTTCTCTTCATTTAAAAAAAGTCTGATATTCTGGATGGTTCCTAACCTGCCCAGTTCAAAGCACTGAACAAATGTTTTTGAAGATGTTTGTTCAGAGGCTACCAGACCTTTTTCTGGTAGTGGCATTAAATAACCTAGAGTTCTCTCTCCCAGTGTGTTGCATTGCATTTCCTGACATGTGACTTCATCTCCTGTTTTATATGCTTGCTCAGTATTCTGGGGTTCTGCAAATTTTTTAATGATGGGTTGGTTTTGGTTGCTCATAATAATTTTGTATAACTTGCAAACTTTAGCACAGATAATATGTGAAATGACAGATAAGCAGGTTCTGAACAGCAGTCCAAGTCCTGGCACAGATTCTGGTGAGGTCTCTCCCCTGTGAGTCTTTCTCTCTTAAGTAGTACCCTGGAAGGTCTTCATTTCTGTAACAGCTTCCTATGAGAGACATCAGCAGAAAATTTTTGGAAGTCTTCTGTTCACTACTACTTCCAGCACCTTTATCCACAGGAACCTTGATTCCTTCAAAGAACTCTTCAAGTTGCGAAGCATCATGTTCCTCTACAAAAGCTGTGTTGTTGTTTTTCTTCCTATTATTCCAGTCTACAGATTCTTAAGTATGGTTTTAACCACCTTGCCTGGTATGGAAGTCAGACTGCCTTTGTTGTGCTTCTCCTGACTGCCTTGTCAAGCTCTGAAAAAATTTGATGTATTTTCCACTCCCCATTCCTCTTTACTTAGGTCACCTTAAGCCTGAGTTTTTGCAGAATTAATAGTTTGGCAGTTTCATATTTGATGCTTTAACACTTCAGCTGAATAGTATCTGGCTCTGGTGAATTCTTACTATTAATTTGATATTTCTAAATGCTCCTCTGATGCTTCATTTAGAGAGATTGCCTTAGGTATCCCCAGTCTAAAGAAGATATGGTGTGGGACTGGCTTTGACTGTCTCAGAAGTGATTTCAGAAAACAACAGATCATCTAGGTTTTCTGCTCTATCCATATCTTCTTCTAATTCTTTTATATCTTCATTTTCTAGTGGTTTATTGCATTGAGGTAGCAAGCTGTATCAGATTCTACTATATTTGAGCTCAGAAATAGCAATGGGAATTTTGTAACATTTTATTGCTCTCTTACAGATGGTTGTGTAGTTCACTGGCAAGCTTTTATTATACTTCTGTGTACTAGCTAGTATATGCCTATCAGTTAGACCAGTACTGGATTTGTATTACCAGTTTTAAATTCTACTAATGACCTGTATGCAGATGAAAATATGCACATAGATAAAAATTCAGTAGTAATTGGAATTCTGAAGAAAAGTTGGGTTTGCATTTTATTTTTATATTGACAAACAAAATTCTCCATTCTAACATATGTGATAGAGTAGTTCTTTAAAAAAAAAGGAGTGCTTTTTGTCTGTGTGCAGAGAGCAGAAGACATAGCTTGTCTGTATTTAAGTGGCTCCAATCTGTTGCCTTATTTAATAAATGGAATTTTCAGAACGGGTTCGTTTTACCACATGCAATTCTTTAACATCTGCTTGAAATCTGAATGTGCCCAGGTGGTGGTGGTAGCATGTGTTTTACTTCCGTGAGTCCCATTTGAACCAGGAAAGGGGTTAAAAATAGTGTTTATGTCCAGTGGTATTCTGGTGTTTCCAACTGGTTTGTATTTGTGATGGGAGGACTGGAGCCAAATTTACTACACTGTTTTGCTCTTGCTTGTAATTTTTTGCTGCTGAAGACTTTCTCTTGGGCTTTGCAACTTTGCAACAAGTATTTTTTGTATCTGTTATTAAAAATGTGGTGAATTTTGTAATGCTTCTAGCCTGCTGCGTTTTTTTTCTCCTTTTGTATCTGCTTGCAAGCTGCTGTTTGTTTGCAGTGACTGAATGTAAGCATCATTTGCAGTCTTTTCTATTTTTGGTCATGGAGAATGGAAGTTTTGTATTTATATTAGGCAGCACTTTGTTTCTACAATGTCACTAAATAACCAGAAGGGAATACCAAATAACATCTGCTTGAATATCAACTAAAACTATCCCTTCATAAGATTTTATAAACGTGTCCATGATTAGTGCTTTGTTTTAAATAATGGAGATCTTGAAAAAAGTTCTCATTTTTTTACCCTTATACACTGTGTCTGTCTTTTAGTTTTGCTTAATATGTCTCTTCTTACAAGGGCATTGCTAAACTGATGTTGAATGTTTCATCTAAAGATTTAACTTTAGATGAGACATTCTGCTATGGGATTGTGAGTGAATACTTCACATAGGTCTGGATGTGGCTTATACAGTATACCTTACACTTGTAAGCTATATGCAAAGCCTGTTTCTTCTTATTTTTTGGATTTTATGTACTCTTTTCTTAATATAAAACCTCAAAGATCCAGCCTAGACTGCAGTCCAGAGTTACAATTTGAAATTTTAGTGCTGCAGTCATCTTAACTTTCTGACCTTTTACTATTCTAGATATTGGAGTAATTAGAGCCATATAAGCAATTTCTGTGTCTTGATTGGTTGCTTTCTCATGTTGCCACTTGTTTTCTTACAGTCTAGTGAAAATACCGCTATGAAGTTTATCTTTCATATAATGAATTTTGGTTTTCCATGCTTTCATTTTCCTTACTAATGGGCTTCCTTTTTATTTTATCAAGGGCAAAGTTCAGAAATAAATGAATTATCTAGTTTTCTGGCGTCATAAGAAGTTCCAAGAACTTAAAAAAAAAAATCTTTGGTCACGTGTAGAGACAAAATTATTTCTTCCCTCAAAATTGTGTGTATGAAGTGATAGCATGCTACTACCTGCAGTTATTTGAGAAGTCTGCTCTTCTGTTTTCTTGAACTCTGTGTCTTATTAAAAAAAAATCTGTCTTCTGGTAATAATCTGAAAATGCAAAGCAAATTACCTAAGTTTAAGTTTTGCAATGTAGCTTGAAATGCTGAAATAATAATAAATGTTTTATCTGTTTTTATTTTACAGAGTGCCCAGAAAATAAAAGTATATTTTAGAAAGTGAGAATCAGAAGAAGTAGCTGCTGACATAAAGGGAAGTGTATTAAGGATCATTTCCTAGGGGAAATTTTTTAAGGTATGTGAGTTATGTCTTCCAGAAAAGCTGCTCATTTTGCCTTGAGTGGACTAATATTTCAGACCAGTTTTGAAACAATCAGGCTAGCTTTAGATTACCACTTTGGATGTTTATTGAATGCAGTAGCTCTATGGAAGCATTAATTCAGCTAGTTCGTGTTCCATACATTTCACATCAAATGCATATGTAGATAATATTCTGAATATGTGGTTAGTGTAAACAAATGGTAGATAAAGCACGTGTTTTGTGTTTCATGGTCTTGCACATTCCAGGAATGGATCCTACACTAAAAAAAATGTCAGTTGTTTTAACAGTCTATTTTTTATTGAAGGTGTGGATGGAGGGCTGAGAATGATTTATTTCATTGTTTTAATGGAATATAACCTACTGTAAGCTTCACATTCAGAAATTGAGATGCACTGTCTAACAAATTCATCACTTGATATACAATTTCTTTTAAATCAGTACAGAAGCCTTGAATTTGAGGATTTGTCTCCTGAATCCAAGTCCTCTTCCTTCTCTGATTTTGCATGATTCTTAATGTTTCTAGAAAGAGTCTGTAAAATATAAGCCATGCTAAGTGATTTGCAGCCCACACAGATTTAGGAGCAAGGGAATTGACAGCAGATCAAGAGTGAGTGTGGTGCTGTCTGCATACTCTGCCTATTCAATATTCCTCCTTCTGGAGGGGCCAGATGTCTGCTGTGCTTTCCTGTTCTGAATTTAACTGGGAGCAGGCATGCTTCTGGTTTGTGATTTATCAGTTGCCTGCCTTGTCATTGATATTATGAAACCACAAGTTCCATCTGATGCGTGTGGATCCATCATTATTTTGAGATCAGCAGTCACAGTCTTGGATATATTTTCTGGCAGTATATAACAGAAGACACCAGTTGTTATAAGGGTAGGAGAGCATCCTGGGAGAGTACTGCTATACACATGCTCTGTTCTTCCCCACTCGTTTGATTTCAGTCCTGTGTAAGACACACAGGACCTTTGATCTGACATGGTATGGCCACTCTTGTGTCAGGGACAGATTGCAGTCTTTAAATTAATTGCAGATTGGCTGTGAAAACTACTTTCTTCAGAGTTGTTACTGGAATCCAGGAAGACTACTAATGCTGGAATATTGGCTTTATTTGCTGAGAGGAGTGTTACAGTGTTGAGGAATGATGTGACTGTCATTGAGGTTTCTCACTGTCATGCTGACAAAATTTAACATTGATTCATTTGGAATCTGCGCTGCTGTGGTAGTGGTGGTGGAGTCAATTCATAAACTGTCTTCAGTAACTATGCTTAAATTTAGAACTGTTCAAGGCCTGGTTGCTCATTCACAGTATATTATTAAATGTACATTGAGTGTTTACTTCCAGTCAGTGATTAGTTTGTTATTTTGAGAGTGACTGTAAAAAGAAAGTAAGTCTTATTTTCTTGGAATTGGATCTGAGACGTATTTTAACCGTTAAAGCTTACCAAATATTGTTTGGCTAATTTGCATATGCAGTAATTTTTATAGTAACATATATTTATCCCATTTCAAATAAAAAAAAAACTAGCTGAAACTCATTTGTCCTATTTGATGCCACTAGGATTTTACTACTTTTACAAAACATGCTAGAATTCAGTTTGCGACTTCACTGGCATGTCAGATTATGCAAGCATTGTTCATGTGTGGAAAAAGAGATAAACCTCATGGGTACCTGCCAGAAGTAGGAAAGATCTCTTCACAGTAAGAGTAAGCAATTCCTGAAGGTTTTTTTTCCTGTGTGAATTGAGCATATCATGTGTTTCTTGTCTTCAGTTCTCCATCTAGCTACTTTAAAATGTGATGCCATCTCTGTTTTTTTCCTTTGAGATAAAATGTTCTCCCATAATTTTTTGAGAAAGACCCCGCCCCGAATATCTCTCACACTATATTTTCATCTTTTCAACATTGGAGTAGAAAGCATGTTTCTGTCTCAAACTCCCCATGTCTCCTACTGGTTCCGCAGTGAATCTTTTCTGGGTTCAGATTTTGTTGCACTACTCAATTTTGTCAGTAGTCTGTGGTTGCAAAATCTGGGTGGGAATCTGTCTTTGTCTTACGTGTTCATTGTGAGCATTGCAATGTTGTATGGTAAAGCCAAAAAATGGGACTATTAGTATTTTTTCCGTAATCCAGTAGCTGTGAACATGGGGAAGCACAAGGAGGATCACGCCACGAATAGCAGCCCAACTTGTTTGCTGTCCTTAAATAGCATCTCCTGGTGCCATGGTTGGAGACAGAGTGCTGATCTATATGGATGATTGTGCCCAGATGATCATTGTAGGTCCCTTCCAGCTGAAATATTTTATTCTATTGGTCTGACCCTGTAGGGTCAACTCTTCTGTGCATGCTAAGCAGAGGGATAACCAAACTTGTCTGTATTGGTGCCAGATATTGTCTCTTTGAACGCTGTCCTTTTGAAATGCACGTGTGCTTTTTAAGAGTATTTGAAATACAGATTGCATAGAACACATCTATTCATGTCTTTGGTAATTCTTACAGTTTTGACTTCAAGTAAGCCACTGTGTGATCTGTACTGTTTTCAGTTGTTTAAAGTGTTAAAAAATTGAAAGTGATTTTACTTGAAAGTATCATTTTTTAGCTTATTGACAGTTAAGTGGCTTAGTCTTGGATACTTGTTCACCACTTCTTTGCCTCCACAATATTGGAGCATTTGAGTTTTCCTGAATGTCTTGATTGAACATTTTCTTAATCTACAAGGAAGGTGTATGTAGAATGGCTTACCCAGTTGGGAATCATCAACTCTGAGACTTTAAGCTTGTAAGTCTTACTGAATCAGAATTTTGTCACTTTTGCAAACCAAATTTTTGCTGTGCTACTTCTGTCATGGTGAATGGAATGAATTAAAACAAAGACCAGAGTCCAGTATGTGCACAATTTTTGTCTATGTACCCAGGCATCTAATAGTGTAATCAGAAAAAAATCTGATTACTACTTAGCAAAGGCAGGCTTAGCAGGCTGGAGTGAGATGTTGTTGGATCTTCTGTTCTGTTGATCTTTGTAATCTTATGGCTCCGCAGTGAGTCAGTAGAAGCAGACTGAAATATCATATGCTGAGAATATTTCCTCCCTTCCTTGCCTTCCTGCCTCTCAGTAAAAAGCAAGCAATCCAGCACTTCACTCATAACACAAGACCAGACTTAATTTTGAGATTCAGTTCCCATGTCTTCTGAATCTGGAATGCAGGAAAATAAACATACTGTCATTTCTCATAGCTATGTGCTAGAATATTTAGGTAATGTACTAAAATGTGCTAGGACAAAAAGGAGCTTTGTGACAGAAATACAGGTCTAAGGGTGTAAAATAATCATCAGCACAGCTCCAGTCATGTTAATAAGTAGGTGCTCTAAGATTTTTTCTTTCGCTCGTCTTACTAAAATACTAGTGGTTTTGCAAGACTTTTTTTAAAACTTAGCTGTGAAAATATTATCAGTAATACAACTAATGACATATTCATGCTGGCTGTATTTATAAAGGATGGACTTATTTACTCTTCTTCTTTATGATTGAGCTCCTAGCTATCAGCAAGAATTCTGACTAAAATATACAGCTTCAAATTAAAAGGCATATGAAAGCTTGCGATATTTATGGTTACTCATACAGCCTTGACTAGTCTCTATTGTGTAGATGCATAGTAACACAGCACTATTCTTTCTTTATAGGATCTTTGTTTCTTTCATTACGTAGCATGGTTTGCGTTCTGAGAATAACCACATAGTGGATGAGGCATATTTCCGTAATTTACTGGAAGAGCTAATGGAGGCAGGGAACTGCAGGAAGAGACCTGGGAGTCAGGCTACCCTGGAGATCACTCTAGGTTCTGATTTGCAAAACCTTTTGAAATTTTGTGTGGTAACTGAAGCCAATAACATCTATTTTTTTTTTTTTTTTTTTTTTTTGGATACTTAATATGCTAAAAATGCTAGGCACTCTGAAAAGTCTGTCTTTAAGACTTGTACATACCAGTATTAGCTAGTACAATGTTGACATTAGTTTATGTGTCTCAGTTCTCAGTGTAAAATATGATTATTAGTCCTGCTTTGCCCCGTGGGCTGTGAGGAAGATAAATCTGTTAATGTTTGTAAAACACTCTGCTAATTTAAGTGTCAATTTAAAGCCTATGAACAAATTGGTACTTCTGTGTTCAAAAGAGTTAAGACTTGGCTGGAGTGCAGGAATTGGTGAATAAGCAGTACACAGGCAGTGCCTGCACTGCAGTCCGGAACTATAATTGCCATTTATGTAAGTTTATCTTACCTAGTTTGAAGCTGATTAGTATAGGAATAGATTTTTGGTGTATACACAGAAAAGAGGGTTCAGCCTGCATTACAAAATCTATGCAAATCTGTGGAAATTATTCATATGTGTGGCTTCAGGTCTTCCATGATGTGGCCTTGTGTTTATCAGTATCAGATGCTGGTATTTTAGAGCTAGCTCAAACAGGTGTCTTTGAGCTGGAGTTGTGTTACAGGATTTCATAAGGCAGCATTTCTTATCTGTTTATCAAATGATGTCCATTTGGTACAGTAAGACTAGACTGCCTTAGGGGAAGATTGTGTGAAGAAGGACTCTGCCCTAATGTGTGTCCCAGGGGAGCAATGGACGGTTGCATGGGGAACCTGATTTGGGATATTTTCTGATCTTTGGGATGTTGAATCTGCAAGTTTAATGGCCTGCTAAGACAGTGTTTAGGAGCAAACAAGCTTCTAAGTAGTTATCCATTTCCCACAGATGCTGTGCCTGAGACCTGATGCTTTATTTGGATTTTTCTGTGCTCTTAGGACAGTAAACACCAGAAACAAATGTTTTGGGTCACCAGGAGTAAAACAGTGTAGTTGATGGTTCTTGTCTGGAGATACTGTCAGCTATCATTATTTGATTAAATATGTGGATTGGTCTTAGTATCTGTCTTAGATGCTTTTATGTATTCCCTCGTAACTCCAGTTTAAGTTAGGGAGTTTTTTTCCATTTTGCATGTGGAAACTGGAGGACAGTTCTGGGCCTGAGATCTCTACCAGTCGTAGATGGGTGTTTGAAAGAGTGCTCTGACGCTCCTTTTGGTTTATTTTGAGGAGGTATATGTAAGTGGTTAATCCCATGGTTAAGTTATTTCAGGGTTTAGACATTAATAGTTGCTCTTTGTCACATGAAGTTTTTCTTTTGATACATGTCTCATTAACCTTGTTCTGCTTTCAGATGTGGTGAAGAGCCTGTATTTTCCCCTGTGTGGTATATAGTGCCTTAAAAAATGGGGTTTGGAGGTGACCTGAAGTATTCTCATGATGCTTTATTAAAACTGCAAGACTGGGAACTACGACTGCTGGAAACGGTGAAGAAATTTATGGTAATGCGAGTAAAAAGTGATAAGGAGTATGCGTCTACTTTACAGAATCTTTGTAATCAAGTAGATAAAGAGAGCACTTGTCAATTGGATTATATCAGCAACGTGTCCAAGGTAAGACTGAAATATTTTGAATTTGGAATATCCTTGGAAATAACAGTGCTGGGTTTATTTTTGTTTGGTTTAGTTTAAGTTGGATTCCTGTTCTTTCAGCTTCTTGAGAGTTAATGTTGCCAAAGTATTTTAAAAGGGCTCCTTTTAGTTTCTCAATGGAATATGCAGAAGTTGAGGTCCAATCTTGCTTTGAAAATAGTAACTGAGCTAGAATCAATCCTGAATTCTGAAATTCAGTATTTTAGGTTCCTGGGTTGAGCCTGCTGCTTTGTTTAGTGATGAAAATAGAGTATGCTATAGTAAGCTTTTCTTTTAAGACAGTTAAATAGGAACTATTGTTTATGTTATATAGAATTTGTGACAGAAATAGAAAAATGCCAGGAAGCCAAGGCAAAGCCTGGTATTCCAGCTGTTACTCACACTGCAGTGTGTATTGTAAAAACAGAACATTAATTCAGGATGTTTCTCATAATTGTGAAGTTATTTTGTATCCAGTTTAAAATAGCTGTGTTGACTTTTTATAAAGGTAAGGCTTCCCCCAAATTATTAATTTTCAGATTTAAAGCAAGTCCAGTAGAGGTACTGATGAAGCAAACTTCCATATTTCACCTGTTTGTAAGCTTCACTCCTGACTTGGATTCCTTCCTGACTAGAGAAAACTATTTATTCTGTTTTAATGGCTTATTCAATTCTTGGCCCTTCTGCTGTAGCAGTGGTTACGCAGTCCCTTCAGTCTGGCATGAATCCTGATCTCCTCTCTGCAGGAAAACACCCTTTTTGGGTCAAGTTAAATTTTAGACAAAGCAGTTTTTATGTAGTGAGTTTATGGGGTGGCTGCTTGAATAACTATCTGGGATAACATAGCACTGGGAACATGACTGCTCCTTGTGCAGCAGTCTGGATTTATACTAGATTAAAGTGGCAGTGTGTGTGAAAGCTGTGCTGCTATAGCTAGCCTGCTTCAGCTGCCCCAAACGTAGCACTGCACAGTGTTTATCTATAACAAATTCTATTGTTGCTTCCTTCCCCCCACAATAATTCTTGCCTTGTAAATTGACATACTACCTTTTTTTTTCATCTGTGTGTTTTGGTGGTGTATTTGAAATGGTTTTTACCCAATTATATGTCTTACACACAGTTTGTTATGGATTTTGCTATTTAAGTTGTAACGATTTCCGTAAATAAATATTAAAGTGTTGTCATTAGCCTAAGATTGGCAGAAGTCAGGTATTTTCTTCAAGCTTTCTACTATTGGATCCCAAAGTTTTGTATAGAATTATTGGTGATATGACTAATAATTCATACTATGCCTGCCCCACTAGAATTGCCCTTATGCGCTAGCTAAACTGTTTTCCAGTTCTTTAAGGTGATGAAATGGAGCGGATTAGGGCTAGAATAGTAAAGGAACATTGGCAATCAGAATATTTAGCATTATAAAGTATAAGCAACCCTTAACCTTCATGTAACTAGTTCAGTCTAGGATGGTTCATGTCAGTGACATGGGCACTTCCTGTGAGCAAATCAATTTTACAAAGCTGAAGATCGGACTTAAGTTCTGTTCTTTTGGGGTTGAAGGCAGGCATGTGTGTCACATTTTGAAATCTCGTTTTGGATATAGGCACTCAAGTTGTTCTTTCAGGATTATTTTTGTTTGTTTTGTTTTTTTTTCTCCTCTTAAGGAGATGCCATTTTTCTCTCAAGCCCCATCCCTGATCCCTACATCTTTGTATAACAGGAAGAATACTTATATGCTACTGACAGATCTTTTGTGTGGGCTTGTCTTGAAATTTCACTGTGACCTTGGATTTTAAAGTTGTGGAGTGGCACATTGTCTTATTGGTTTTGGCAGTAAAATGTCTGAATTATTGATTACTTTACTCACTTCATTCTAATTTACTTTATTATTTCACGATACTTTTTCTCTCTTCCTGACGTGTTACAGAATCAAAGTATGACCCAAATACAATGGGACATAAATCCAGTATCTTACATCATCTAAGATCTGAAATACCAGCATATTAAATTTTTAGTATTATGTGGCATCAGAACCAAATACCAAGCTGTCTAATCTTTTATGTTTGTTTGTTTGATTTTCTTGTACATGTACAGTAAGAGTGAGCACTTTGAGAGAAATGGTGTTGGGAAAATCTGTCCTATGTTTTTTTCATGCAGAGGCAGCAAACTTGCTGGAAAGCATAGTGGCAGCAGCTGCTAATGCTAGAAAAGCAGTATTTTTAAGTGCTCCCCAACAGCTCTTTTGTCTGTGTATACATCTAAAAAATACTGTTAAAGCAAACAATATTGTATTTTATTGCTTTTGATGGATTGTGGTTATTTTCTGTGAAAGGAAATGCTTTGCCTTTTCTACTATCCCCACCCAGCTGCTTTTCTGTCCCATATAAATCCCAATATTTGAAGCCTTTCCTCAAGTATAGCTTTTAACTTTAGGTTTTCCTATATAAAATAATAAAATATAATCATAAAAATCACAGAAATCCTGTTTAACGGATGTTTTATCAATATGGAAAGAGGGATGTAAAGAACAGGAAAATGTGCAAATTGTTTTTTTTAATAAAAAGGGAAGTTTTTGCTATGTTTCTGGCTTACTTGGGTTCATTTGGTGAATTGTAAGCAAAGTATTTCTTTAGAGTACTTGTCCTGCTGAAAAGTGCTTTTGCTGTGATTTTCAGGGTTGATTGAAACAGTACTGCCTCATCAGTAATAAATCAGCCTTAAAGAAAATGGAGAACTCTGACTACATTTTCACCTCTGAGACCAATCTTATGAACTCTTCTATAACCACAAGACCCACTGCTCTCAGACAGATGTTTAATGGTGTTTTTATCCTGTGCAGCATTGCAATATGGATTCCGATGTCATTGGAGAGTGTTCTGTAATGGAGAGGTGAAACAGCTTTCAGCCATAGCTGGGAAGCTTTAGGCTGTGACCTTTTACACCACCACACTAAGCAGTCTAAGATAGCTCTGTGTGAGTCTGTGGGATATTTATGAGCTAAATGAAATGTTGAAGATGGTTTAATATATACAGGAGTTAACTGTCTTTTGTTTCTTTCTCTAGAATCCAGTTTGCATTGCAGCATTATCATGTAGAGATGGAAATATTATGTATATATATTCATATATGAGATGTAAGGAGACCCCAAAGCTACCAAACAAATTAATTTTCTAAGTTGTCATGATCTAAGGTGGATTTCTGTTTTTAGTAAGAGTAAGATAAATGCTAGTAAAACTAGATACTAGCTGCCTTCAAAACCTGATAATTGTATGGCATGTAGCCATTCTGAAATTTTAGATAGAGCATAGCATTCAATATCAGGGAGTTATCTCTAAGGAATCCAATACTGTTGCCACCAACAAAGTGTGACAAGGATCTTTAGGGTAACAAAAGCTTTTATTTGAATTGAACTTTAATTTCATGTTCATATCTGTGGTGCATTGGAAGTCTCTCTGTTCATATTACAGTTATTAATCAAAGTTCAAAGCCACAAATGGCACATTAAGCTGTCCTGAAAACTGAATGACAGAATGGCCAAGGAGGTTATTAAAGTAGGGTACAGAAATATGTTGGGTTACTATGACAGACAAGTAACTGCTTGTGTCTCTTCACCAGTTAGCACCTCATGCTTTGATACTGGTGGCCTGACTGATGCTGTCAGTTATGTGAAGCAGCTGACGAATGGTATCCTTTTAAACCGTAACCACTTAAATGCATATTACTGTGAGGTATTTAGACAAGGCCAGAGAAGTCAGCTTGAACAGAGTAACTGTGGCTGGCAAACAGGACAGCAAAGGACACAGGAACGTGCTTGTCAGGGGTTTTGGGGATGTATTCCAGAAAAGGTTGTAAAGCCTTCATCAGTGTTCAGAAGTACTAGGACAGTGTTGAAGACTGAACATACAATATTGTATTTTTGTCTCTGGTGCTTTTTTATGATTTTATGTGTAAGTGTGAGGCATGATTCTGCTGTAGCAGGAAGAACTTTATTTTAGAGAATCTCAAGTGCATTTGGGTAAGTTTAAAATTCTTTTTTTACTGAATTTTTTAAACAGTGATGCATCTTTTCCCGAAGTTCATGTTCATCATTTGGTTATTTGTAAGCCAGAATAAGTAAGTGCTTTTCTGCTCTGACTTTTTTTTATAGTCTTGGTTGCTTGTGGTACAGCAAACAGAACAGCTGAGCAAAATAATGAAGACACATGCAGAGGATCTTAATTCTGGGCCTTTGCATAGGCTTACAATGATGATCAAAGATAAGCAGCAAGTTAAGAAGAGTTACGTAGGTGTTCATCAACAAATTGAAGCAGAGATGTACAAGGTATTTTATTCAACGGTGCTTTATAAATTTATTATAGTTTTATATGTTTAAAAAGTAATATATTGAGAGTGGATTATTTTAGTCCCTCTGTTTTTGTTTGTGCTGTGGTAAAAGTAGTGATTTTTCGTATGTAGAATGCCTAGTATAAATTTTAGGTATTTGTTCCACATTTTCTCTCCCCTGCTAGCTGACAAGGCAGAGATGGAAAACTTTCTTCGATATTAATTTCTATGGACAGATAGCACTGGAAAAGTTCTTGTTCCAGTAAAGGATGATTCGGTGTGACACTTCTCTATTCCATCTCTCTTCCTGTTCTCATTCCGCTCTAGACATCCCTGGGACTAGGGCACTGAAAACTTTTGTTAATGTATGCTCTTGACAGTCCAGACTGTTTTGGGTGGGAACAGGATTCAAGTCCCTGTTCTAAAAAATAAATCAAGTGTAAACCAAACATTAAGGCTGCAGATGGAGCTCTTCAGGGCCTTTTCTGTTACGTGTCAGTTGTCCTGCTTATGTTGAAAGCACTGTGTTTAGTCAGTAAAGCTGACAGAAATCGCAGTTTCATTCGGGTGCTCTGGGGGAAGTTTAGCTGCAAATATCAAAAAATAGATTGATAGTCTGAAAGGTCTACTGAGAGAAGGAAAAGCACTGTTTCTTCTTTCTTCCAGCAGAGACTTTGAGATTTGGTGTAATTAAAATGTAACATCTGAGTAGTACAATACAAAAGTCACGGACTGCCGAGTGGAAAATTCTTGGGCTGGTTCTAAGAAGAACTTTAAACTAGTACTATACATATATTAAGTTACAAATGTTGTCTCTAATAGGACTGCTTCCATAATATGCTGGGATCTTGGCATCTTCCCCAGGTATTGACTATGGGGAGCACATCCTTTTTGATGCATGCTCACTAGGCTGTCTTATCTGATAAAATTTCCAAGCCAAATACTCACTCACAACCACTTATGGATTGTTGTATCTGAAAATAGTCAGGATGGAAGAAGAGGAAAAACTGATCGCGTATGTTAGAAATAATAGAGGTTAAATATAGAGAAAATTGGACAAATGGAGAAAGAAAGAAAGAAACATAAGAAAGAGATGCTAGGTAAAACAAGGCTGCTGGAAGTTCAGGTATACTTTTAAAGATGGTGCAAACCATGTTTTTTTCTGTTAATAAGTTAACTCTAATAAAACTGTCTTTTAAAATAAGGCTTTTTCAAAAAATATAGTGCATATTAAGCATTCCTCAAATGATTAATTACAAACCATATTGATTTTAATTAATTATGGGCTGCATAGCCACACAGATATTTTGCATCCTGATGAATAAGCTTGCATTGTTATTTGGATTCCCCCCCCCGCCCCGATTTTCCTAAGAAGCACTTGAATAGCATTTTGGCTAGATGTGATATGTTCTTTCATTGTTAGCTGACATTGTTTGTTCAAAGGTTTGTGTCACTGGAACACTTACAGAATGGTTCCCAGAAATCCAAAATACTTCTTGTGTTCTGTGGTATTATTTCTGCTTTTGTTACACACAGAAACAAAATACTTATTATTTCCCAGGACATTATCCAAACCTTGTGAAGATCAGTGTCTGTGCAGTGCATATCTTTAGGATACACTGGCAAAAAAAAAAAGTGTTTTTGTTTAGGTGAAATGCATATATGTCATCCTTTCTTATTCTAGACACCTCTACAGTGAGGAATCTTTTTGATAAAATTCTAAAGGACAGTGAATTACCATGTCTTTTACACAAATATAGTAAAACTTGTATCTTGTAGATTTATTCCAATTCCCATTAAGATGTTGGATATTTTTTCTTCATGAAATTTGAGGGAAAAAAGTACAATACTATGCTAGTTAGGTGGGCAAGACTTTTTGATATAAAAACTGGCTTTAAGATAATCCTTGACCATCTCAGTTCCTTAATTGTTATTTGACAGAGGTGCTGTTGGTTTTGTTCTTGTATGTTGGAAGAACACAGTCAGAATCAGTAAAATATATTTTACAATTATTACAAAGGTTTCTTAATACTAGTGGCCGGCTTACCTTTTATTTTCCAGTTTTCTGTAAGAGAAGCAGTTCCTTGTTATTTATGTCTTAATTGTGTTCACTGCTTCCTAATTCCATCTTTTTCTCCATTTCTTGTGGTGTCTTTATAATACAAGTTTGTCATAAAGTTATTTTTTCCTGTATCACCTCTATTAGTCTATAATAACAACAGTTGTGAGTATAATTTACAATGTGTAGGAATAGGATATGACAATATGGGACTGACGTGGAGAAAAGTTCCTGCCTTTAAATCTTTGCAAATTTGGCCCAGAAATAGAACCTGTAGATAGCACCTTGTTGGCTCTTTGAGGGATTCCATTAAGTTTCCAGATGTTGTTACTGAGGGTGAAAGTAGTGGTACCTAGGGCTTGCCTCATGACAAAAAGGAGAGTTGTGAACTCCAGCCTTCCTCACGCCAGCTGCAAGAGAAACGGACTTCCTTTTGTGCACATTCATCGAGGGGAGCACTTCCATTAAATTAAATTCCTCTTCCATGATTTCCCATTGTGAGAGTATTTCTCTTTTTGTCAGTTTTTTTACTTTTTCTTACTGTATATGCCACCCTTTTGGTATTGTAGGGGCTGGTTTGTTATCAGCTTTTGCTTGCAAATTCATGATTTGTGATTATTTCTGAACAGTGCACTAATTTTTTCACACAAGGAATCAAAGTTGGGGATAGAAGAGACTTTTCCTTTTTAGGGATTTAAGTCTTACAACAGATAGATTGGTTCATGCACAGTTGCTGTTTCTAAGCTGTTTGTACAAACTGTATAATCTAAAAATTCTAGCTTGCCTTTTTTTTTTTTTTTTTTTTTTTTTGTTCTAAAAGGTTTCTTTCCAATGCATAGAACTTTTTCATCTAGTATGATTTATTAAGCATCTTTTTGGTACATTTTTTTCTTTGTCACTGAAATGAAATAGTGTTTGTGATTAGCTGGATTTCCTAAATGTATTTTTCATTACACTGGTGTGGATGGGGATCGCTGTTTTAGCCTCTTACTTCATTCCACACATTTATTGATTTTGATTGTTACACAGTGTAATATCCTATTAAGATTATCTCAAGGCAATGGAAAGTGGTAGTAACATCCTTATTTTGGAAAATAACCCTGTTAATTCTCTTTCACTAATGCTATGAGTTTTTTTATATGTTGAGGGTAAGTGTTTTTAATACTTTTTATATTTCTGTTTTCTTAAAGGTCACAAAGACAGAACTAGAGAAACTAAAATCTAGCTATAGACAACTAATAAAAGAAGTAAATTCTGCCAAAGAAAAGTATAAAGAAGCTGTGGCTAAAGGTATGACTGACTTGTGTTAATTTCGTCTATTTGTTAGTGCCATTTTCAAACTTGCTAAAACTCATACAGTGAAACAGGGTAATGTTTTTATTTTGAGCAACTATTAAATATAAAAGCTTATTTAGTATCTTAAGTAAGACAGGCTAATTGTCATCATGTGTACTTGGTGGTAGTCTTTTTAAAAAAATCTTAAAAATAAGGCATAGCCCTTCTTTTAATATAAACAGTAATCCTTTTAGGTTCTTCTATTATTCCTACAGTGGATGTATTTGAAATGTAAAATTGCTTAAATGAACTGTTAACAGTGGTAAGTGGGTTGCAACTCCATCTCATCCACGTTGTAGCTGCAGCCTCCTTGCATCCTGTGACCTATTACGGTTGCTGCAGTAGCATCAGCATCAGTTCTTGACAGTTAGTATAAAGGATCTGACCTTTGTCAACCTTAAGCAAAAGAGGAAAAGAATTCATTTGCACACTGTGATATTTTTAAGAATTTTGGGGAATGATGTGTCCAAACTGCATGGATTTTGATTCCTGTTCATTTGTGCTAATGATTAGATAAAGGAGAGCCTTTGGTCTATGATGTATTGAAGTATCTTGGTAATAATTGTCCTTATGTGCCTTTCTAAGATTTTTTTCTTTCTTTAGAGGAAATTAATTAGATGGCAGTATGTAAATATAATTCCAAGATTCATCTTCAAGTTTTTGTATGGCTGCCTAAAATGACAGTTATTGTCCTTGGTTCTGTTGTACTGTAATTCACAGTGCAATATTGTAGCTATCAGTATCATATAGTAGCTGAGATAAAGATTGTTTCTTTCCAACTTTGTCTAAAATTTGGAGCAGTAGCTGATAGGTGAATGACAGAACAGCATGGGATAAGAGAAGTTATACTTAGCCCTGTTTAGATTCACCTTTTTTTTTTTTTCCTTTTACTGATGTTCGTATTCACTTAAAAATGTAAATACATACTCAGTTGTTCATTTCATCCAGTTCCCCAGCTGTTTTCTACATATAACTTTAATTTTGTTGCTTGGTTTATCCCCAAGTAACTACTTAACATGGGAGCATATAGTATGTAACATGGAAAACGGGAATAGAATGCAAGTCACACAAAGGAATGACTATAGAAATTTCTCTGTTTTGGAAGTGTAGTGATTTTGAAATTAAGTGACTTTTGTTTTGTTTTGGAATAGCAAAGCCATCTTCTAGTGAAGAGAGTAAGTTTACTAGAGCTGCTAGTGAAAGAGGTACAAGTGGCTCTCTAGTTTGGGAGGAGAATTATTTCCCTGGTGTTTGGTTGAGTTGTTAAAACTGGTATTAAAGTCTGGGCTAAACACACACAGTAGAGGATATTAACTGAAAAGAGTAAAGCCTGGCAAAGTTACAAACAGTGGAAAGTGATCTTCTGCAGTGGTAGTTGTTTTTATGTTTTTCTGCAGTCACAAAGTATTCTCAGGTAAACTTGAATTACTGTGTGTCATACTTTCTACCAGCTAATGGGACAATCACTTTGAATCAACATGTTGATGCCCTAATGCAGGGTTACAGTTGTTTTCACTTTTTTCTGAAAACACCAAGAGGGCCTGTGGAAAGAGGAATAAGGGTAAGGGTTAAGCACTGAATAATGATACTGGTTAGTTACAGGTTTTATTTGTGTTAGGGCAATGTGAAGGCAGCTGGTAGGAATTTTTTGATAGTTTCGTAGTGAGGAAAAGGGAACTGCTTTCTAAAGGATGCAGGAGCTTCATCATGGAAGGCTTTGTGCTCTCCAGATCTGAAGAACGGTGAAAGTGTCTGAGATACTGGCTCAGGAGCTGTGCTGGGGAACCCTCTGCTAGCATTGCTTCTGCTTGGGCATGAGGTAAGCAGTGGGACAGCTGTGTTGCAGAGGGTGCACCACTGAGCTTTGGCTGCCGCTTGGTCCTTAGGCTGGATTGCACTGCCCTGTTGTGGCCACTATTGTCTGCATGCTGTCTCAATCAGAAGTGACTGATTTGTTTGTTCTAGCCCTTACCCCATTTAGTCATTCGTTGCTGCTCCTTTCTGGACCAGTGATTACCATGGGAATCACAAATGCAGCCTGGTTGCTTGTTCTTGGGCATGGAGACCCCAGGTGTCAGGCAGTCTGGTCGGTGTTACTCGATTGATAGTTTTTTGGTTTTTTTTCAGTCCTTAATTCTTACGTTCTTTTAATGTATGGTGAGAGAAAGCAAGCTGAAAGGGGATGAGGTCAGCAAGCTGAACTACCCCACTGCATCTCTAATGAGGCATACTTCAGCAACTGGGACTATGGACAAGTTGATTCCAATAGTCTCTTATGCATTGGTAAACTTCAGGGAAAAAAAAAAAAAGTAGTATGTACTGGGAATGCACAGCATATTCCTTTGCAGAATTGGGGCATCAGGGTGTGCTGGGTCATAGTGCATACTGCGGTCATTGGAGCAAAATACAGGATAAAAACTTATTAGATAATGATATGGACAGCCCTCTGAAATCTTTTGGATGTTTGATATTGACAAAAATGGTGTAGACTTCTTACAACAGGGGTCCAAAATAACACTCACAGATTGTGTACAACTCTGAGCCTACAATGCTGTGCTGACATCAGTGATGCTGAGTAACAAGGTAAATAGAGTGTGGCAAGTTGATGTTGCTGCTGCAGGAAAACACATCAAAACAAAATTTTTGTCAAATGAGAAAGACATTGTTTGGCTAAAGAACAAGTCACAAAGCTTCTAAAAAAAAGTTTCATAAATAATGGGTAAAGAACACAAAATAGAAACTGTAGAACAGTTGTAGATATCAAGTGTGATAGCTCGTTACAGTTTGAATCTCATTTGGTTGGATCAGTAACTGCTTCCGCTTAAGTTTGCTATTTCCACAATTAATTTTGTTTCTGCAGAATTGTGCATCTTTATTAAGTGCAGTTCAGAATGTGTCCGGGGGGCTTGCTGATGTTTTCATCCTTGAGTTTTTTGATTAAACACTACTTATTGCTATATAAAAAAAGCTTAAATAAGGAAATGATGAGTACATGAAATCATAAACAATAATTTTCTCTTTGCCTTTTTTTATAAAAAATTTGAAAAGTATTATTAATTCTTAACAATTTAACAAATAGTAAATAGTAAAGCAAAAATATATTGATTCTAAGTATTTAATTTCATAATTTCATTTTATGCTGCTACAGATTTCCCTAGGCTGGCTTGTGTTCCCTGACAACGTTGTGATTTAGAGGAAACTAGAAATATTAACAGTACACCTAGCACATTATCCAACATTGCATCTGCTGGAAGAATGTTTTCTGATCCCTGCAACTCTTGTGATTTAATACTTCAGAACTGATGTGACTTCTGTGGTACATATTGAAGTTGCATGACAGCATAGGCTGTATCTATGATAAATAAGGAAGCTGTTGAAAAAGCTTTCATTAAATCAAATTATCGTCGTACTATTCTTTATAATAGCTGAGTGGCAGAAAATACTTTTATTAGGTGGCTGGTGCATTCATTCTAAGATGCCTGTAAAATTGTGATTATACTACTACATTTCCTGGTGGCATGTGTTGCCTTTAGTTGTTCCTGAGATCAGGGAAACTCCTAGTAGGGTATTTTTTGAGTTTATTTTTGACTGAAACTCTCACATTGTTGAGACAAAACAAGTAACACTGGCTGAACTGGTCTGTCTTACAGACGTCAGCAGGCTGGATGGATTTCAAATTAATACGCTATTGTAAGCATTTCAACTCATAGACACTACCAATGCTTGTAATGGCTAACGTTGTTTCTTGTGTGTAAAATATAGCTTCTAGAGCAGGAAACCCTGGGGAGTGCAGAGCCGAGAGATCTTGGTGACTTCTTGTGGAGTGTGGGATCAGCTTGGGCATATTGCTCCCACTCAACATGGACATGCAGCCCCAGGATGTGTTCTCCTCAATCCTCACAGACCAGCACTCAGGTCTGAGAGAATTTACTAGTGGCGCTTATTAGCTCAAACATCTGACAGCAGTTCAAAAGATTGCATTTTAATTTTTGCTATTTTTATACTATGTTATTTGTTTATCTTAATAAAGTTATCTGCTTAATGTTGAACTAATTCTTAAATCAGAAGTTTAGGTCTGGTATTTTGTAAATTTGAACTCTCTAAGTATATACAAATAGTTTTTTTGCATTAGAAAACTATTTGTTATTTGCAGTCATTAATCTGTTGAATAAAGTTTGGGAAAAACTTCTTATCCTCTTCTCAGAAGTAAGTTGAGTGGAGGAGGGAGCGGGTGTTTTTATTTGTTGAAGAAACATGTTCATGTAAGCCTCTTGCAAGACATAAAGGGAAAAAAGCCCTTGGAGATTAAAAGCCAAGATCCTATCTTTATGTCTGTCTTAGTGATTTTGGTCTTATGAAACCTATGTTAATTAAGAGCAGTGCATTTGCATCTCTTTACTTGAAGAGTGATGATAAGGCTGGTCACTCACTAAATTTCAGAGTTTGCTTCCTGAGACAGAACTAACATTCAAAGCCATCCTAGTTTAGCTGTAGCAGTTTCTATAAAAAGTACTTTGTAGATTGGTATAAATTATTTTTAAAGTCTCCTAACTTCTGGACACAAGTGTAACTTGGGAGAGGAGTGGCTGTGGAGCAGCCCTGCAGAAAGGGATCTGGGGTGCTGGTTGACAGCAGGCTCAGCATGAGTCAGCAGTGGGCCCTGGCAGCCAAGAGGGCAAACCACGTCCCGGGGTGCATCAAACACAGGATAACCAGCTGTTCAAAAGAGGGGATTTTTCTGCTTTATTTAGCATTGGTGCGGCCTCACCTTGAATACCGTGTGCAGTTCTGGGCCCCACGATTTAAGAAGGTTGTGAAGATCCTTGAACGCATCCAAAGGGGGGCACAAAGCTGGTGAAAGGGCTGGAAGGCATGTCCTGTGAGGAGCAGCTGAGGACTTTGCGTTTGTCTAGTTTGGAGAAAAGGAGGCTGAGGGGCGACCCTGTTGCTCTCTA